CTATACATATCTTCTGTTGAGACTGCGCTGATAATTCTCATTTTCTAATACTCTATTGAAATTTACACATAAATCTTTATCATCATTTCAGATTATTTCCTTCAAATAATTTCTCAGAAGAAGAATCCTTAGTCTAAATGGGATGGATGATTTTTAAGGTTCTTAATAAAGACTACCAAATTGCTTTCCAGAAAAATTATGACCTATTTTATATTTCTGCCAGCAATATCTAAAAATGGCCATCTTATTGAACCTTAACTCATAAGGGTATTTATTTTTTAATCTTTGTAAATATAATAAATGAAAATGGTATTTTACTGTTTTTAATTCACATTTTCATGAGTGTTCAGTGTTTCATGAAATTCAGTGTTACTTTATATAGAATTTAGTTTTATAGTAATCATTTCTAGTTTTTCCTATATGTCCTCCAGAGTTATAGAGGAAACTTTCCTTTTGTCCCTTAGTAGGAAGAATATTAGTTTTTCTATCATCATCATAAATTCATTGAAGTTTTTTGTTTTTTGTTTTTTTTTTAAGACAGAGTCTCACTCTGTTGCCTGGACTAGAGTGCATTGAATTTTTTTTAAAAAGAGAACACGTGTATAATTAAGAATTAGAGAGTTGAATAGATGAACAACTATAAGAAAGGGATCTCTCAATTTATGGAGTCCCTTGCTTGCCTTTCTTTCTTGTGACCAGGCAGATTTTGTCTCTGGTACTATGCTCAGAACTAAATAGATGAAACGATGTAGAGAGAAAGATTCTAGAAATCTAAATTCATACTTATCCTTAAAATGAACTTTTGGAACATGACCTTTTTGTAAATTGAGAGCTTTCAGTACACCATTAGGAAAATCCCCAAATATTAAGTTTTTTTGTGGATAAAATTTGTTCATTTTGTTCTCATAGACCTATTAAGTTCCTGGAGGGTAGAAATCAGATTTCATTCATTTTTGTGTCCCAGGCATAATTCCTGGCACACACTAAGTGCTCAGTAAATGTGTAACTAATAGGCTCTTTGAAATAGTGAAAAGATTGAGCTTGGAGGTAGAAGACCAAGGGTTTTTGTATCTTAACTTACTAGAGCTTTAGGACATTTATAGATTATGTAACATCTTTTGAACCTCTGTTTCATTAACTCATGGTTATAAACTGCTTGTTCCATTTACTTCACAGAGTTGAGAAATAAATGAGATAAAATATGTTAAAGTAGCTGATAGAATTTTGAAAGTGCTGTGCAGTTGTAAAAGTCATCACCACCATCATTATTGTATGTATTTCTGGGAAGTACTTGGTAAAGAGCTCTATTGTTAGGAAATTACCTGGAAGAGTTTGGCAGAGGCTGCTAGCTGATCACCAAAAATCCACTGTTTCTTCTTCCTTCTAGGCCTACAACTGGACTGTTTCTATTCCTCCCTTGCATTTAGGTGTGGTCATATGACTGAGTTCTAACTAATGGGATGAGCAGAAATAATATGTACCACTTGTAGGCCTGGCCCATGAAAACTTACCATGAGACCCCACCAAGCCCTTTTTTCCTTCTGTCTAGCTGGAAAGAAGATCACCTTCAGGTTAACCTTGGAATCTATATGTTAAAGATAATAAAGCCTCCTTGAGTCTCGTATGCCTGCTAATTTCACCCATCCAGTTCTGCTGCATAAGCAAGAAATAAACTTCTGTTGAGCTTGGATCATTATATGTTTTGAGGTCTACTTGGCAAAGCAGTTAGACTGTCCCTTATCACAAGGAATATGCTAACATATGTTCTGCTTTTTCTTTAGAGAAGAATAATCCTCTTATAACAGCCTTAAAAACAAGGGATAACGATGTAAAGAAATAAATATATATATTTGGGGTCATAGGTAGGTAGACAGAAAGTCTGTGACCCAAAGTTAAGAGAGAATTATGTCATTTGAGAATTTTTTTATTGAGGAAAGATAAATAATGATGTTTATAATTGTTTCTTAAAGTTTAGACAATTTATATATTTTACTTTTTCATTGTTTAGGCCAAGGTTCCAAAATAATATAAAAGAGGAGATATCCGTGGGTAATATCTTTAATTGGCATTTAGTATCCAAACCTTTTCTTCAGTATTGAATATGATACTCAAAATACATACAATATGAAATTATCTTATGACAGTAATACTGAGATTTTAAAACCATAGTTCTTTTCTCCCCAACTCTTTCTATTTATTAGATGGTTGTGACCCATCTCATAAAAGCTTTGTTTTGATGAGAAGGGTCCTGGTATCTAGACTCACTCCAAAAATTGTAGAGCAAAACATTTTCTTCAAAATATGCGTGTCTTTGAAGTTCCATGTTACTATCCTGAGAAATATTGAGAATATTCAAATGTACACTTATTTGGCAACTTTTACCCAAAGTGACGGATAATACTGGTTTCTATCATGCTTTTTTAGAATATTCTGATTATGGTAATAATTAAAACTTCCATCAAACATAATGAAAATAGCTATCACAGAACCTATGCACCTTCTGCCTTGAGAAGGATCTACCCCCTTTCTTCTTAGGCAATACATTTAGTTTTACACATTATGTTTGATAATCTGATTTCCCCTGGGAAGCTTGGGTGGTTCTGTGAGTTACAATTAATTCAAATCAGGGAACAAGCTGTGGACAGCAAGTTAGAAATAGAGAAAGGTAAGAAAGAAACCTTACAGTAGAGCTTTAGGAGATAACTGCTAAGGACAGCAGCCATTAGGAAAGAAGAAAAAATTACAGTTGACCCTTCAACAGGGTGGGAGTTAGGGACACTCACTCCACCCCTGCCCCAGCAGTTGAAAATCCAAGTATAAGTTTTGATGCCCCAAAAACTTAACTACTGATAGCCGTCTGCTGACCAGAAGCCTCACCAGTAACAAACAGTCAACACATTTTGTATGTTATATGTATTATATACTATATTCTTACAATAAAGTAAGTTAGAGGAAAAACCTTATCAAGAAAATCATAAGGAAGAGAAAATATATTTACTATATTCATTAAGTAGAAGTGGATCATCATAAAGGTCTTCATCCTTGTTGTTTTCACATTGAGTAGGTGGAAGAGGAGGAGGAGTTCTTGTTATCTCAGGGGTGGAAGAAAATCTGTGTATATTGGACCCACGCAGTTCAAACCTGTATTGTTCAAGGGTCAACTGTAATTGTGTGAATAGGAGACTGAGGAAATTAAGTGAGGTGACAAGCTGAGTCCTATTTTCTTGGATACCTTTTGGGAGTATTGAACTATTATAGAACATAACAATAGTTGGTGTATTAAAAATTACCTGGAAACAACAACATAGGTTAGATTATGTTTAGAATACTTTTTGATAATCCAAGAATGGATTAATAAAATGTGGTATATGTATACCATGGAGTACTATTCAGCTCTAAGAAACAATGGTGACATAGCACATCTTATATTTTCCTGATTAGAGCTGGAACCCATACTATTAAGTGAAGTTCCCAAGAATGGAAAAACAGCACCACATATACTCACAGCAAATGGTATTAACTGAACAAGCACCTAAGTGGTCACATAGGTACTACAGTAATAGGTATTGGGCAGGGGGAGGGGGCGGGTATATGCATACATAATAAGTGAGATGTGCACCATCTGGGGGATGGTCATGATGGAGACTCAGACTTGTGGGGGGGGAATGGGCATTTATTGAACCTTAAAATCTGTACCCCATAATATGCCGAATAAAAAAAAGAATATTTTTTTTTTTTTTTTTTTTGAGACAGGAGTCTCGCTTTGTTGCCCAGGCTAGGTGAGTGCCGTGGCGTCAGCCTAGCTCACAGCAAACCTCAAACTCCTGGGCTCGAGTGATCCTTCTGCCTCAGCTCCCGGTAGCTGGGACTACAGGCATGCGCCACCATGCCCGGCTAATTTTTTATATATATATCAGTTGGCCAATTAATTTCTTTCTATGTATAGTAGAGACGGGGTCTCGCTCTTGCTCAGGCTGGTTTCGAACTCCTGACCTTGAGCAATCTGCCCGCCTCGGCCTCCCAAGAGCTAGGATTACAGGCGTGAGCCACAGCGCCTGGCAAGAATACTTTTTGATAGAATATGAAGTGTATTTTAATACATTTCTAGTAAGTATAAATTTATTTGGATAGTTCCCAATTATCTGAAAAATTCATTTAAATCAGAATGCTATATTCCTAATCTAATTTTTAAAAATTAGTTCTTTTTAGTTGGATGGGGAAAAAAGTATGTGAGTGTTGAATTCTATGTATTTATGCACCTTCAAATGTAATTCCTTCAGCAGATTACTAACCTTGGAATTGTTTAGATTCCTATTTAGTTATATAAGAATGCGGCCACATTATCTGAAATCAAATTCCTTTTAGAAAGTTAAAAGTTACTGTAATTACTAACATTTCAGTTTTTACACTTAGATTTTTAAAACAAAATTTGATCCAATTGATATTTTTTCATGTAATTGAGTTTTAATACTTACTATTCAGCTTTATTCTAGACAGGTATGTCTATAGTCTTTGGAACCTATCACTTGCTTTTCTAGAAAAATAGTATTTCAGTACAACAGAAACTATCTTCCGAAATGTCTTCTGCTTGGCTAATCATTTGTTTATAGGTACTTTACAATGGGATGATAACTGGTTGAAACAGCTGCTAGTTTAATAAAATAAAGATTTTATTTCTTCAGTTTATACATGGAGTAAAAAGCCATTACAGTTGCACTGAAAGAGAAACATGCTTTATTAAAGTAACTTTGCAGAGTCATTCTTCATAGCACACTAAAGACGCTACCAACCAAAATCTTCTGCAGTTCCTTACACATGGTATGAGTTGAAGAAACATTTATTGAATGAATGAATGAATGAGTGTTGAATTTAAACTAACTATAATCAGTGTCATAGAAAACTACAGGTGAAGTCTCGGATGTCATTTATTGACAGGATTCTTAATTGGAAGATGTTAATTATCATATGTTAATTGTATTTATTTGTGTTCTGGGATGCAGGTGGCGATAAAAATAATAGATAAATCTCAGCTGGATGCGGTGAACCTTGAGAAAATCTACCGAGAAGTTCAAATAATGAAAATGTTAGACCACCCTCACATAATCAAACTTTATCAGGTATGATTTAGTCTTATACCTCCTCCATGCATTTCATATTCAGTACTCTATTTTGCATCATGATTTTTCCTTTTATGTTTTTCTAATCTATAAATGAAAGATAAATATATGCTTTTATTAAGCCAAGTATATCCATTTTTCTATATTATCTTTAAAAGTTTTGAAATCAGAAACTAGTAGCTTTATTTTAAGTTGTCTCTCACACGGCAAGTTATTTATTTTAAAAGTTTGCAATTGTGCATTTATGATACCCTGCTTAAACCTGCTGCGTTTTGGTGGTACCATTAATGAGGATGTGGCAGTATTGCTTATTTAAAAAACATACTATTTATGTTTTATGTCTGCAGTCCCCAACCCCCTGGACTCACTGTGGACCAGTACCAGGCTACGCAGCAGGAGGTTGGGGGGGGTGGCAGAAGGGATGGAGCTTCATTTGTATTTATAGCCACTCCAAGACTGCCTGAGCTCCGCCTCCTGTCAGATGGGCTATGGCATTAGATTCTCATAGGAGCTCAAGCCCTGCTGTAAACTGCACATGCAAGGGCTCTAGGTTTCGCTCCATATGAGAATCTATCTAATGCCTGATGATCTGAGGTGCTGGTCCATGGAAAAATTGTCTTCCATGAAACTGGTCCCTGGTGCCAAAACAGTTGGGAACCACTGTTTTATGACATACAAAAGCTGGAGTGATCTATTACTGAGTAGTATACTTTGTGATACCTAGAGACAAATCTTTTTTTAGCTTGTTTTATCAGATAAAATAAATGAGCCATTTTTAAAAAAATCAACTTTAAGATAATTTTTGTAAAATAAGTTATACCCATTTTAAGCATAAGCCGTGTTTTTTTAAAAGGAATATTTTCTCAGATTTTAAAAGAGTAATTCATGTTTAAGAATGATAATATAAAACATTTAAAAGTTTCGATTCATTAACATGTAGAATTTTTCTATTGGAAGAATTTTAAACTGAAATATTCCAATATGCTAGCCTATGACTTTGTTCTCCAGAGTAGGATGTGTGAACCCATGGTTTGCTAGACTAGGCCTCTGCTGGCTTATAAGACCTGATTGTTAAATTTTCAGAAGTTTTGCAAGCCAGTTCACATTACATTAGTAACTCAAAATCAGCATTGGTGGGAATATTTACACCACAGAAATTGACTTACAAATCAGGGCCTTTTTTTTTTCTTAGAGCTGGTTACTAGCACACCACTATGTGCACTCAAATGGATTGGCATAAATGTCCTTGGGAGTATAAGAAGGAATTATTAAAACTTCTAGCTATGTTTATTGTTTATATTTGCCTTCTCGTGTGCATTTATAATATATATCATATATACAATAAATACAGTGGCACATGTATATAATTTATGTGTATGTATATATACATAAATGTGTATGTTCATATACATGTGTGTATATACATGTACATGCATATATATGTGGCTAAACAACTTTTATTGATAGAGATTTGCAATTTAAAAAATGTAGAGACTGTTGGCTTATGATATGCCTCCTAAGAATGAGAGACTATGATGTACCACTCAAAACATTTCCTAAGAATTCTAAAACTACCAAGGCCTCTTAGATTAAATTTATATCAGATTAGCCAGGCATGGTGCCACGTACCTGTAGTGCCTGCTACTCAGGGGATTGAGGAAAGAAAATTTCTTGAGCCCAGGGGTTTGAGGCCACAGTGCATTATGATCATGCCTGTGAATAACCACTGTACTTCAACCTGGGCAACATAACAAGTCCTTTTCTCTTTAAAAAAAAAAAATTCAAATTATTTCTCCCTTTAAGCTTTTTGTTGTTGTTAATTCCTAAAGATGATACTTCTAAAAAACTAATCATGTTTTTCAGTCACTGATGAGCTGTAAGCTAACTGAGGATAAAACTATCATAATTCACATGATAATTCTATCTTTATTTGAACTAAATAGTTGGTTGAAATTGATTTACTATTTGATTCGTTTAACCAAATTGTAGGTAGCTCTTAGTTTTCTACCCTAATGGGGAATAGTCCTCAACCTACATTTTAAAGCAAGAAGTTTTCAGCCTTTCAGGAGATAGCAGATAAAGAGTGTTACAGAGAAGGAGTCTAAAAACTGCTCATATTAATTCAAAAAATTAATTTCTTTTCTAAATAGACATATATTTAGCGTAGTTTGAAAAATCAGATTTGTGACAATGACACACTTCATTCCTGAACCTAGAAAAACTAATTTAAATAAAAGTGTATAACAGTAAAACTGTGAAGATGAAACTTTTAAACTATGTTTTAAAATCATAGTACTTTGTAACAATATTAAAGTGTAGTAGGAGGAATATCACATTGTGCCAGATTAGCTAGGCTACAGGCCAGATAAACTAAGTTCTTCTGTTTACTATTCTTTTCTTAATCAGGGTCTACCATGATAACATAGGGTTAGAAAAGTCAGCGAAGAGGTGTTGAAAAGTTGACCTTCAAAACTCTTGTTACCTATGTTCCTACTTCTCAAACTTTAATGTGCATAAAAATCACGTGTTGATTTTGTTTAAAATGGAAATTCTAATTCAGTATGTCTGTGATGTCTATGGTGGGGCCTGAGAGTCTGCATTTCTAACACATGTCTGGACAGTGCTGTTACTCCTGGTTAATGGACTATACTTAGAAGAGCAAGGATCTAGATTTTTCATAAAAATGTTAGCATAAGGATATTGTCAGACATGTAAACTTAGCTAGCTTCTGAATTGTTCATAACTCTGATTCTTTTGTGAGTAGTTTCAATTTAGGTAACCCTATAGAATGTTGTAGTAGATTGCAGTGCTTTCCTGTCAACTAATATGGAATTATTTATCAATAGGTAATGGAGACCAAAAGTATGTTGTACCTTGTGACAGAATATGCCAAAAATGGAGAAATTTTTGGTAAGCTTTTTTCTGTAAATTTTTTATTAATTTGAAAAGGTCACTAATCTGCATGAAATGGGGTATTTTCTATTAATTTTTCTGCTTATGTAAGAGTTGGTAATATGAGTTAGAATTTTTTAAGTATTAGAATATGATAAAATATCCAGTAAACTAAAAAATGTAGAATATAATTTATTTCCTTGTATTTATGATATTAAAGATACTACTTAATTCTCTCATCTGTGCTAAAGAGATTGGAAAATCAAAGATAGGGAGAAACTTTGGGTCATACTGCAAGGGATATTTTCTTTTCCTTTATCTTCTTTTTTACCTTTTTTCCCAGGGGAAAGATCAGTCAACAAATATCTATTGAGCTCCTACTGTGTCCCAGGCATGTACTAGGTATTGGGGTACAGTAGTGTCTTAAAAACACAATCTCTGTCATTGTGATTGTTACAGTTTGGTAGGGTATTTGCTATAGCTGTAAGGCTCAGGCAAGTCACTAACTCTGGGACTTGGTTCCATTATCTCCAACAAGAAAGTATTTGATTCATTGGTCTCTGTGACCCATTCTGGCCCTTAAAAATGATGAATCTTCTATTCTAACTTTTATCTAGAATAGCTATTTGTTTTTACTCTGTGAAGCCAGGATACATTAGGTATCTAATTATTTTTATTTCTCAACCTAAATTTAAATCCAAAATTGTTTTTTAAACAGCTTTATTGAGGAATAATTTAAATACAATAAATTATACACATTTAATGTGTACAATTTAGTAAGTTTTGGTACACATTTGTGAAACCATCATCATGATCAAGATAGCCTTTGCTTCTAAAATTTTCTTTGTGCCCTCTTTGTAGCTCTTTTGCCCCATCCCTCACCCAGGCAACCACTGATTTGTTTTCTGTCACTATAGATTAGTTTGCATCTTCCGGAGTTTTATATAAATGTAATCATACAGGATGTACTCTTTTTGTCTGGTTTCTTTCCCTCAGTATAATTATTTTGAGATTCATCCATTTAATTGTGTGTATCAACATATAATTTCTTTTTATTGCAACTAGTATTTTTTCTTTTTTTTCTTTTTTATTTCGTTAAGGCGGTCTTCCTTGGAATGCATATAAGTAGTATTTTATTGTATGAATATATCCCAGTTTGTTTATCCATTCATCTGTTGATAGACATTTGGGTTGGTTTTAGTTTTGGTCTGTTTTTCATAAGTTGCAATGAACATTCATGTACAGGTCTTTAACTTACACAATCTACCTTCAAGTGGTATTTAACACTTCACATGTAATATAAGAACCTTACAATAATGTTATTTTATTTTGTCCCTCCTGGCCTTTATGTTCTTGTCATGTTTTATTTATACCTATTTTATAAAACACAATACAGTGTTGTTATTTTTCTTTAAACAGTCAATTTTCTTTTAAAGAGATTTCAATTTTTTAAAAAATCATATATATTTACAAGTATAATTACCATTTCCACATTCCTACCTGTAGAGGCGTATTTTCATCTTTATTCCTTTATGTAGATGCATATTTTTATCAAGGGTCATTTTCCTTTTACCTAAAGGATTTTTTTTTAGTGTTTCTTCTGCATGTCTGCTGGTGATGAAATCATTCAGCTTTTGCATGTCTAAAATAATCTTTATTTTGTCTATGTTTTTGAAAGATATTTGCATTAGATATAGAATTCTAGATTGTTCTTTTTTCTTTCAGTATTTTAAAGATGTTGCTTCACTGTCTTCACATTTGTACTGTTTCCTACAAGAAATCCTCTGTCACTGTCATCTTTTTCTTTATTCCTCTGTGTGTAATATGCCTTTTTTTCTCTGGCTGCTTTTAAGATTTTCTGTTTACCATTGGTTTTAACAATTTAATTATGATTTGCTTTTATGGGATTTTCTTCACGATTCTTACGTTTGGTGTTCATTGAGCTTCTTGGATCTGTGAATGTCCTGCTTTCATCAAATTTGGACATTTTTTCAGCCACTGTTCTCTAATTTTTCTGTCCCACCTCTTTCTCCTTTTCTTCAGAGATTCCAGTCAGATGTACATGAGGCTGTTTGAAATTGTCTCACAGCTCACCAATACTCTTTTCTGTTTTAAAAAATTCCTTTTTCTCTCTGTGTTTCATTTTGGATAGTTGCTATTTGTTTGTCTTCAAGTTCACTGATCTTTTCTTCTGTGATGTCTAATTTGCCATTAATCCCATTCAATATATTTTTCATCTCAGCCATTGTAGTTTTCTTCTCTATAAACTTGACTAGGACCTCTTTTATACCTTCCATGTCTTTACTTAGCTTTTTGAACATCTGGAATATAGTTAGTAATAACTTTTAATGTTCCTGTATATTAATTCTGGTATCTCTGTCAGTTCTGGATCAGTTTCGATTGGTTGGTGTTTCTCCTCAGTTTTAGTCATATTTTCATGCTTCTTTACATTCCTGGGAGTATTTGATTGGATGCCAGATATTACCAGTTTTACCTTGAGCACCTCATATTTTTGTGTTACTTTAAGTTGTCTTGAACTTTGTTCTGAGATGCAGAAACAGTTTCATCCATTGGGGTCTTGCCTTTATGATTAGAGCATTGCTTAGTCTGGGTCTCATTATTTACCACTTCTGAGTACTCTGCCCAATGCCCCATGAAATCTGAGAGTTTTTAGCCTGACCAGTAGGAACAGGAACTATCCCTGGCTCTATGTAAGCACCAGGCGTTGTTCTCGCTCAGTCTTTCAGATGGTTCTTTCTCTGGCCTCAGGTAATTTTCTCTCTCACATGTGCCAATCAGGACTCTCCTGAATGTTCATTACTCACCCTCTGCAGATTGTTGGAGTTCTGTTTGTGGCTCTCTCTTTTCTGGTACTCTGTCTTGTGATCTCTGCCCTGTTCTCCCCAGACTTTCAGCTCTCTCCTCAACTCAAGGACATTGCTGGGGCCTGCCTGGGTTTCCCCTCCCTATGCTGTGGCCTAGAAATTCTCTCAAGGCATTAGCTGGGACATTCGTGGGTCTCACCTCATTTGTTGCCTGTTTCTCAGGGACCGTTCTGCTTCTTTGCCTGATATCCAGTGTCTTATAAATTATTATCTCAGATATTTTATGTTTTTGTTGTAATTGGGGTGGGGAGGTTGTTTCAGGTAGGAAGGTAAATTGGATCCCTTTTACTCCATCTTAGCCAAAAGCAGAATTCTCCAATCCTTTCAAAATAATTGTTAACTTTAGGTATTTTAAAGAGAATTATATATACTTCCATAGTTTTGGGAAAATGTACTATTCGTAGATGAATTCTAAATAGTTCTGACTGAGCTCACTGTATTTCAGGAAAGATAGTCTGAAATACTATTCCTTTTTTACTTTTTTGTGCTGCTGCTTAATGAACTTATTGTAATTCTTAAGGTATTTGTTTCAACTAGTAGCATCTTAACTCACACTGTAATAGAATGATATGGGCTTTGAAGCCAAGCAAATCTGGTTTATAATGCTGGCTATACCATATTAATTATTCCTTACTCTGGACAAATTTTTTCCTTTCCCTTCTTTCCCTTTCTTTTCTCTTCTTCTTTTTGTTATTTTCTTTCTTCCTATTCTTTCTTATATTCACTTATTCATTCAGTCTTTCAAGAAATCTTTGTTGAAAATCAACTATGTGTAACATACTGTTCTAAGTGGTCAGAAAACTGTAATGAAGAAAACAGACAAAAATCCCTACTCTTATGGACCTTACATTCTAGATTGGGAGAGAGACAAACAAAATAAGTGAATTATGTGTGTAGTTTATTAAATGGTGATAAGTATTATGGAAATAATAAAGCAAGGATGGGGGGATAGGAGTGGATCGAAACATTGCAGTGATCAGAGAAGGCCTCACTGGCATTTGGGCAAAGACTTGAAAGCATAGGCATGTAGATGTGGGAGAAAGGGGGTTATCCAGGGAGAGGGAAGAATAAATGCAAAGGCCCTGTGCTTGGTGTGTTCATGGGGTAGCAGGGAGGCCAGTATGGCTTAAGAGAAGCAAGCAAGAGGGAAAAGCAAGGAAGAAGAGTAGGAGATGAGGTCCAAAAGGTAGTGGGAGGCAGCAGTGGGACAGATTTGGGGGGCTTTGTAGGCTATTGTAAGGACCTTGGCTCTTACCTTGAATAGTATCAGGGAGCCATTTTCAGCAGGGTTTCAGCAGAGAAGTGACTATATCTAATTTAACATTTTAAAAGCATCATTCTGGCTGCTGTGTTGCAAATGGGAAAGGGTGGAAACTGGGAGACTAGGTAAGAGGCTGCTGCAGTAGTGCAAGTGAGAGACGACGATGGCCCACACCAGGGCAGTGGCAGTGCAGGTAGTCATAAGTGGTCAGACTCAGAATATGTTTTAGAAGTAGAATCAATAGGATTTCGTGACAGGTGGAGACCACCTAAGTAGTAAGTAGTTTGGAAGAGACCAAACATGACCAAAGTCTGACCCCTGAGGCACTTGAACATTAAAAGGTTGGGAAAAGAGGAGCAACCAGCAAGGGAGACAGAGAAGGAAGAAAACTAAGAGAGTGTAGTGTCCTGGAAACCAAGTAAACCAGGTGTTTTCAGAAGGATAGAGTGAATGTCTGTGATAAATGTTGCTGATAGATCAAGGATGATGAAGAATGACAATTGACCTTTGTATTTGGCAGTTGGTAATAGCAATTTTGGGAGAGTGACTTGGCCAAAAGCTAGATTGAAGGGGTTTAAGGAGCATATGAGAGAAGAAAAATGGAGAGAGTAAAATAAACAACTCTTTCAAGGAGTTCTGCTGCAAAAAGGGAGAAGAGAAATGGAAGGTAGTTGGTAGGGACACTGGGTCAAGAGAATGATTTTTAAGTCTTTATCCAATGGAATATTTTTAAAGCTTTGGGCTGCAGTTTTATGAGTGAGCTAGCAATGGCTGTTATATATTAGGTGTCATTTCCATGGAAATGGGATAATCTAAATTGCTGTTTCTTGCTAAGACCTTTGAAACAGTTTTGGACAACATTGTTTTACATA